TGTCGATGGGGGTGGGGGGCGTTGAGAAACACTGCGCTAGTGGATTGTCAAAGAAAAAATGTCTATGCAAACGTCATTATTAATAATAATTTTAATTTTTTTTATTTGCCATTTTTATTTTGTAATCATCTCGCGACCCACACCCGGGATCTCGCAACTCCCCGAGGGGTCGCGACCCCCACTTTGGGAACCCCTGGGTTAGATAACTCTGAAACCAGCAAATGGCATTATGACCTAAACGAGACACCAACATAACATTAGACATAATGTGGTGATCTAGTGTCAAATGCTTTGGCTAGGTCAATAAACAATGCAACACAAACTGATTTGTTATCCAAAGCAGCCTTAATATCGTCTTTCAGACTGCAGTCACAGTACTGTGCTTTGATCTGAATCCAGATTGCATAGGGTTAAGGATGTTGTGTGAATTTAAAAAAAGTTTTAGCTGAGTAGAAACTAAAGACTTAAGAATCTTTGATAACACAGAAAGATTTGAGATAGGACGATAGTTATTCAACTCAGTGGGATCACCAGCTTTCAAGAGGGGCGATACCAGAGCTTGCTTCCACACAGCTGGCAGTGTGTGAGTGGACAGGGAGAGATTACACATATCAGTTACTGGTTGAGCTATAATCTGAGCTGCAATTTTTAAAAAGAAAGGATCTAGGCCGTGAGGCCCGGCAGACTTTTTAGGATCAAATGAGTGCAAACCCTGTAAGACTTCAGAGACCGAGAAAGAAGCGAAATCAGAAACAGTGGAGCTCATCTCTTGACTAGGGCTGTGAGTACGACCATTTAGAGAGTCATGAGTTTGCTCATCAAAAATGTGACCAGCCTTTTTGAAGTGAGAGAAAGCATTAGACATACCATCTGAATCTGAAATAAAAGAATCACTGACCTTCAGTTTTTGTGGGAAACTAGAAACCTTCTTGTTCTGAAGTGATTTAATTGTTTTCCAGAACTTAGAATGGTCATTAAAACTATCAGTGGTTAAGCTCAGATAGTAATCAGCTTTAGCTTTTTTAATAAGCGCTGAACATTTATTTCTGAGGACACGAAAAAGAAGCCAGTCATCACTCGTGTTACACTTTCTAGCTAAAGACCATTGCTTATTTCGATCATGAATTAGATCAGATAGCTCTCTAGTAAACCATGGAGTGTTCCACAGGTTGTTTGTGTATTGCAATTCATCATAACTCCCTAATATTGCACTTAGCTTGCTTTTATATAATAATAGATACTTCAAATGCATGTGCTGTGCTGAATCAAGAAATAGTCCCCATGCTCGTAGGTAAAACATTTTTATTGCAGTGTTTCACATGTGCAAACTTTCAAAATTAGCTGTAATCATTTTCCAAATCATCACGCTTCTCTCCACAGCGTGCAGGTAAGATCATCAGAAGGGCCATTGTCACTTTTAAATAAAACAACTTGAAGTTAGTCTCTTCGCAGCAGCATCAAAGTGAATCCATCCGTGCAGAAAGACCGAGCTCTGAGGGTCAAATGTCTGGTGTCAAAGCAGGAGGAAGACACATGTACGGACTTGTAGTTCTAGTCCAAGTTGTGGAAACATGGACGTGATATCCCATAATATGGTGTTAAAGTCAGTAGAAGCTCGGTTAGCATTCCTCACAGCAGCGACTCTTTCTCTCCAGGGGACAAACCTTTAAAAGAATGTTAAAAATCAGAAAAATAGACTTAGTGATTTGAACAGACTATAATACTTATTTTTTTAGGGTTCATTAAGATTTTGTCAGCGTTTAAACAAACAGTTCATGCATAACCAATATTAATGCAACCTAGGAGTGTGAACAACTACTGATACACTTACTATCATGATACCATGTTTTGTTAAACTGTGTCAATTCTTAAAAGCACGATTGATTTTGTATAAAAAAGGTATAGAAAACCAAAATATTCTGTGTGTCAAACTCAAGGCCCGGGGGCCAAATCAGGCCCTTGGTGGATTTCATTTCTAATTACTATTAGATTTGGCCCGCCGGTATATTGCACGCACACCTTCACTCCACCCTGAGGGTCTCCTCAGCTCAGAGCCTGAGCCCAAACATTGATGACCTTGCACCCAAGATGAGATGCCAAGTATCTGAACTAGCATCACAGAGCAGCACACTGAGTTTAATGGATGTTTCCTTCTGCACTTTCTCTCTCACGACAACAGGGCATGTTTGGTTTCTCTTTGAGGGAAATAGTTTTGTTGAAGCTGTTGTTGGCCTGTGGAAAAATGTGATCATAAGAAATGACTCTGGAAAAGCTGCAGATAGAGCCATAAGAAATNCTGCTGAACCGCTCTTCCGATCTTAAAAGCACGATTGATTTTGTATAAAAAAGGAATAGAAAACCAAAATATTCTGTGTGTCAAACTCAAGGCCCGGGGGCCAAATCAGGCCCTTGGTGGATTTAATTTCAGCCCGCAGGATAATTTGTNTAAAGTGAAAACAGGAGTACAACACAAATATTTTACATCAACATGTTAAGCCTCCTGCCCTGGCTCCCCTTCAGCAGGGTCACAGCATTTCTCCTGTCACACACACACACACACACACACACACACACACACACACACACACACACACACACACACACACACACACACACACACACACACACACACACACAGAGCTGAGCACAAACACATACACATAATGCGCCTTAGTGACCAGAGATCTCCAAAACGAGTAATGGAGGATTAATCGGGCAGTTATAAAGTGACTGAGAGTCCGAGTTCGAAATACAGTATATCTAAAATAATGTAAGCACTGCCATTTCCCAACATGAACATTACAGTCTGAAATGAAATGGCTGTCTCCTGTGTGCTCCACTTCCTACTGGGCGCTCCGGTAACTTTCTCGTGCGAATGAGATACAGTATCTTTTTTTCATTGCCCTTTAGGGGCTCCGTACAATACAAAAACAGATGCAAATATTTAATTTTAAAAAGTAAAGTGCTTTCGAGTCATCCGTCTCAAGTCAAGTCAAGTCTCAAGTCATGAATACCAAGTCAAAGTCAAGTCAAGTCTTTTATAAATGTTAGTCAAGCAAGTCTCCAAAAATATGCGACTCGAATATGACTCGAGTCAAGTCATGTGACTCAAGTCCCCCACCTCTGCTTTTTTGGGTTCTGTTATATAGGTTTTTGTGCATGTAAATGGTCTGCAAAGATAAACATCCCAAAGTCGTCTCGAGAGGGATTTTCTCTCCCAAACAATCCCCCCCCCCCTGCCTGAAACGCCTCCATTGGACTCTTTTTTACTTCTGTTACATAACGACATCACTAGTTACACTCATGCTCCTATTGGCCTGTGCTCCAACACATTATACGTGATAGGCTAAGACCTGACCAATCAGAACAGAGCCAGCCAGTCAGCCAATCAGAGCAGACTGGGCTCTGGTGTCAGACAGAGGGTGAAAAGACCTTTTTGAACATTAAAGCATGGAGACATGTCACAGTAGAGGCTCCAAATACATGTATGAACATGAAAATGAGCATGATAGGGCCCCTTTAAAGCAGAGTAAGAACAAAACTGTAGTCCAAAAACCATTGAGAGACGTCACAGTACCTACATCAATGGTTTTGGGTTCTTCTAAGCAACATCAAAATCACACTTTCTACACTACAAGTGAAACCTGTTTCTTTTGTTGTTATTATCGTTACAACAACTGAAGGTAACAAGTCACAAAAAGCATTTTGGTAATCACAGGCCTGACAAGAAGCTAAAATATAGGAAGTAAAAGGAAAAACAATATCGGAAACAGTCATTTAACATTTCATAAGAGCTAACTGTTATCATATTAGAACAATAATCGTTTCTAGTTTAAACTATTAAACTATCAAATTATGTTTGCCTGCGGTAACTACACTGATGTTTATTGAAACGTACCTCCGAGCTGCTGTCCTCTTCTCGATGTGGAGTCACAGTCAGCTGACGTTCTGAACCCACGTGCTGCTCTGGTCAGACAAACGCTGCTGATAAATGAACTCTATTGTCTCTGTGTGTGTCAACCTCCTCTCTGCACTGACAACAACTCACCCTCTCTTCCTCAACAATGTGAACCAGATGGCTTCAAAAATTTACACACTGATCAAAAATGTAAACTGTTTCTTCTTTCTAGTCACCGATATGCAGTCACATCAAAGTCTAAAGTCCCTGGGAATCAGCTTCCAGAGAACATACGGACCTCTGCATCACTCTCAGTTTTTAAGAAAAGCCTCAAGATCCACCTGTTCCGCACCGCATTTGACTGACTGTCCTTTCTTTTGTATTTGTTTTATTCTAACCTTTAATGCTCGTAACCTTTTTTATATTACCATATTTGACTCAATATGCTCCTTAGATAACTTTGTATTTTATCGTATTTTCTCCTCATAGCATTGTGAAGCACCTTGAGATGACATTGTTTTTAAAGTGTAATGAAATTTATTATTATTATTATTATTATTATTAAAGTAGTTATTTTTTTAGGAAAAGCATAAGGCCTATAATCTTGGTGTTCATCGGAAGAGTTTGTTGCACATACGTCCATCAATCACATTTTCTCAGACACCTGCCAGATGCGAGACTTGGTGCCTTTAGAAACCATACGCATTCTCATTTTGTGCTGCAAGTATGTATGCGTTCAGATGATATGCATATATTAAAGCATTAACAGTGACTTCATTGACTATTTAGACCAGAATATTCTTGTAATGGTCTGACAGGATAAACCCACTGAACTCACCATGAGCCATTTCTCATCATCTTCTCCTTCTCTGCCAGTGCTGCAGCGTCATCCAGCCTCAGCTTGGTCACCTGACCACAGAGACCCTGGAGCAATGGCCGAAGCTCGGGGCTGGGGCCCTCACCGCGCTCCTGCCCTTTCATCAAGTGAGACATTATCTCCGCCAGCTGGCTGTGGCTCACCGGGCCTCGGCCCCCGCTGCTCACTACAAATGGAAGACCACACACTGGTTAGCGGGTAAGAATTAAGAAATTCACGCTAAGGAAAAATGTGTTCCCCAATATATTTTCAAATCCATCCCTTGTTTGACCATGTATATAGGATGTAGAATCCGCAAAATAGAAAGTTAACATAAATAAACACGTTAATTGAGGTTAATATATCCGCTATCTGAGATGAGTGATTATCTTCACATTACTGAATTGAAAAAGGTTGTAGAGCTTGCTAACATGGAACAGAACCATATCTAAAACACAGGAATAATCATTTAAGAAAGAACAAAATCACACATTGTTGCTTTATTATATTTCATATATGAAAGGAGGACCTTAATAATCATTACTAGCCTATTAAGGAGAATTGGATTTGTTTGTATAAAAAGATGTGTCCTGTTTGTGATGCATAACATTTTTTATAAACAAAATATTTGTTAATTTTATTTGAGTGTTTTTCAGTGCCTTTGTAAAAGTGTGTTCCTGTCTGGACCTTAACCTGCAGTAAAGTGGATAATGTCAGTCTATTGAGGCAGACGCAGATTTTGTATTCCTCAAAACTCTTTCCAGGCATATGCTGTGTTTATACAGCATTTTCATTCAAATTCTGTTAATTATTGGTCTTTTTGATTCAAGCAAGACCGTTTGTAACTCAAACCAGAAACCATCAGGTTCTTGAGACTAAGAATTGCATTTAATGTCAGAAAACACACACACCACTAATTAGTTAGACCTGAAAGAAACAATGTCCCCTTACTTATATTCTGGGTGATGACCTGCAGGTCTGGGGAGAGGGTGGAGGATCCGTCTGACATGGCTCCGTTCTGAGCCGGTGGAGCTTCACCTGCAGGCCTGGTGGAGCCGACTGGAGGCTAGTGACACAGAACAAGACTCTCATACAGTGTCTGCAAACAGCGTCAAGAAGTGAGTGGTCATGCTAAAAAAGGATAATAAAGAGTGGCTTGAGGGCAAACAGCTGCCCAGATAATACTAATACCCTGGAGTCCTCAGGGTGGGGCTGGTTTCTAGGGGGTGTTGGGGGGATGTTGGCTCTCTGAGACAGGTCAGAGAAAAGTCCACCGCCCATCAGGAGAGGCAGGAAGCCGCACAGAGAGCTGGTCTGGTTCTAGAGAGAGAAACACAAACCTGGTGATTGACTTCATCATCATGGTACACACAAAACAAGCATCAGTACAAGCTAGAGTATTTTATTTACCAATTGTAGGTTTTTCAAAGGAAGCTTTAAATGTCTGTTGTCGTTTTTCATGACTTTGTTACCCTTTATAAAAAAGCAAAATCCTAAATTGAAATAAAGCATTTAATCAGAATATAAGTTATTTTTATTAAATCAAACTGTAACTACATACTAAGCCCCCCAGGGCTCCTAAAGATATCTGAAAGATTCCAGCACGCCTGAAGAATTTGCTTTACAGCTTCACAATGTTTTGCAGTTATAGACATTTTTGGATCACACATGTATGAAACCATCCAATACAGACACCACTGGTATATCATTATAAAAAAGTGAAACAGCCTAATCTTTATCTGCAACTGCAGAAATACTCTGTTTAAACACAATGAATAGACATTCAAAACATGTGTGCATAATACTCTCCAGAATGTGTATATTAATGTTACAAATAATGCTTAAAATCTTAGATGTATTTGGTAAGGTCAGCACAGACCTTAGAGGTTTCTCAATACTCTAATTTCCCCTCCTCGACTCCTCGGTCCTCCGGTAGTGACCCGGAAAAGGATTTCAGCGCGCCATGTTGAAGGACATCTCAATTCTCTAAATGCACATCGAGGACCGAGCATCGAGCATCGAGGAGGCTCTCTGGAGGAGCTCTAACCGAGGAGACACTGATGGTTCCTCCTCCACGGATGCATTTCCGGGAACGGTGGAAGCGTTACGCACGGCCGGACTTATCTCAGCCAATGACAGCTCTGCATGCATCCCCTGGATATTATATTAGTAACTGCTATCATCGCGACGCGATGTTTACAGTGAGAACAGCTGTGAGGTCCATGCAGAAAGCAGAGCAGTGTGTAAAATATATATCACTCAGTATAACATGCCTACATTACTCTCTGCATTTGTATGCTGTAGTTTAGTAGATATCTAGAAACAAAGAGTCGATATTTTTTTAAGACCATTTAGTGCTTCACATAATAAAATACACAACGGCTGTAGCCTGATTATGCTTTAGGAGCTGTAGGTGTGTGTGGTACAGTATGTAGGTGTGTGCGTGGTACAGTGTGTGTGGGTTGTACAGTGCGTAGATGCGGCGGACAGACGGGTCTCAGTTGGTTTGGTGTCCTCTGCTTACTTTTAATACTTGAAAATAAAAAACTTTTGGCCCGTAATTTCAATTCCCCATTTCAGCGACCAGAGAGAGGGGGGGATATATCCAGTCTCTGATTGTGTTACGCTATTATGAGAGAGCTCTCATACTTGTTTGATTCTGAAATTGTATATATTTATATAAATATATGTGTGTGTATATGTCCGCATCTGTAGTGTTAGAAATTAAAATCAATGTTTTATGGCATAATTTAGTTAGAACATACGATCAGTTTAAATGCTATTTTATTCTGGAAAAAAATTGAAGTTCTCAATACCAAGCTTTTATTCTGAAAATCCTTCATGACGACATCCGGGACTACCGTCCAGTAGTATCATTAAAGTGGCTATTGACGCCGTTAACATGTGTTACATATAAAGTTATGAAAGAGATAAGGAGGAGAAAAGGCATGTGGAAGTAAGCAATGAATGTAAAATGTCTGAATCCTCTGTTATGCGCAACAACGAACATTGAAGATTGCTTACTTCCACATGCCTTTTCTCCTCCTTATCTCTTTCATAACTTTNACGGAGGGACTATTTTATTTTGAACATCATTATTTACTAATAAAAACTAATTCAATTAGAGTGTGTATTTTTCTTTCATATTGCCACACTTGGTAACCGTTTTATAAAAGCAATAGCTCACTTCAGGCTGTGATCATTTGTTTAATTGTTAACTCTTTTTCACTTTTTAAGTGTTTGTATTTTAATGTTGAGCACACTGGTCATGAAGAAAATAATTTCCCGAATTTGGGATTAATAAAGTATATATCTTACTATCTATCTATATATCTATCTATCTATATATATATATCTACCTATCCATCTATCCATCTATCTATATATATATATATCTATCTATCCATCTATCCATCTATCCATCTATCTATCTATCCATCTATCTATCTATCTATCTATCTATCTATCTATCTATCCATCTATCTATCTATCTATCTATCTATCTATCTATCCATCTATCTATCTATCTGAGGGGGGCTTCACGTGAAGTCACCCAGTCACAAACACGTTTATTCCTGGTATTCTGACCCCACATACATTCAATTCAAGGCTTTATTGTGATGTGCACATTAGCTCCAGTGTAGATATGATAAACTTAAGTCACAGGCTCTATGTGCAACATGAATATATGGCAAATAAAACAGATAAAATAGTGCAAGATAATGTTTTGAGATGTGCAAGTAAATACAAATAAAATAGTGCAAGAAGAGTCTATAAACAGAAGTAAGTGGAATATGATCTATAGATAACTCATTTACAAGAGGCGAACAGATGAATGTTTATGCATGTCAGGTGTTTAATAGTCTTATGGCCTGTGGAATGAAACATGCAACCGTTTGCCTTATCTAGCAATGTTACCAGAAACTAAAACACATTTGTTTAATCCGCCTTTTACTGCAGTCTTTGGCAGTGCTTTATGGCTTTAGTCCATTTGCTACGTGTAGAAGCCAAGAGTTCACATCATGACGGTAGAAACACCCTCGTATACAGGCAGTGCGTCATCGTTCGTCTTTGGAGAACTCGCTTTCCCCGAACTAAACTTTTCCTGACAAAGAGGATGCTCCATCTTGTTGCAGTGTTTGCAGAAACTGCTATAGACCAGCACATCCTGGACCTTTGTGATGAAAGTAAGCCAGAAACAGAGACCTATCTGTGTGCTTTTTTCAAAGGCAGCCTTCGAGGCGAGCCTTTCGATAGCTCACTAGAAAGTGACTACAGAAATCAAGGACTTTTCAAAGAACACTTAGAGACGCCGTGCCATCTGATAGGCAGTGTGGAAATTCGCAATTGTTCGCTTTTGTGGTGAGTGATGCTCGTCGCATATCCTACCATCTGCAAGGCTGATAGTTTAGAAATAATGAGAAGTGCAGAGACAAAGTGTTGAGAGGCTTTGCATGGCTGTATCATTGCTCCAACTTTGTAGGGTATTGCTTCGTCTCCTCCCTCCAGCTGGCGTCTCTCTCCCTGGATCTCTGCTGCTCGGGGCCTCTGGGTCGTGACCTCTGTCTCTGGCAACACACAGGCAGAAGATGAGCCAAGTACACAAACACATGTATTTGAACACAAAACCAAGCACACACTCGCTATACTGTACATGACTGTGCACACACATCCACACACAGAGCATATGGCTCCCTATTAATTTCCGAAACAAAGTTCTTATAGATGTACCTGTGGATGTTTGTTTGTCCTTGCTGTTAGAGGGTAGATATAGAGAAAAAGTTTTAATGTCTATGTTTTCTTGCACTCAAGATTATATTTCGCCTAGTTTTAGCAATACAATTTGTGTTTACATTTTTTTTTAACATTATGGGAATTACTTGTATTTATAACTTTATTTCAGGTAGTTAGAGGATACTGTTAACTGTGTTCGTTATTCTCGCGTCCAGGAGAAGCTTTAAAAGTTAGTAGACCAATGGAGTCTCTGAGAAGGTTCAAATGGGTACTTTAATTAATTAAAGGCGCGGTAATGTTACAAGCAGAAGATGATTCAGAGAGAGGGATGTAAAAAGCTCCCTCTCTGTGGTCGGCCGAGCAGAAGAGAGCCTACAAGCATTCGTCCTTCCCGCTTGCTGGCTGTTCGCCCCTCCTCTCTGGGGGCCGTGGTGACGTAGGGGGTCCTCCCTCCTCCGATCTGCAATGTTCGTTGTTGCGCATAACAGAGGATTCAGACATTTTACATTCATTGCTTACTTCCACATGCCTTTTCTCCTCGTTATCTCTTTCATAACTTTATATGTAACACATGTTAGCCACTTTAATGATACTACTGGACTGTAGTCCCGGATGTCGTCATGAAGGATTTTCAGAATAAAAGCTTGGTATTGAGAACTTCCGTTTTTTCCAGAATAAAATAACATTTAAAGCTGACGGTATGTTATAACAAAATTATGCCATGAAACATTGATTTTAATTTCTAACAATACAACTTCCAAGTTTTTGCATGAAGTGTAAATCTAGAGCTAGGAGCACTTAGCTTATAGCATAGCATAGCATGACATAGCACAAAGACGGAAAGCAGAGGTAAACAGCTAGCTTGCTCAAAACAATAGTTTGGAGAGCTATTGCTTTGGGCCTTTATCCCTTCTTCGCTATATCTTATTGAATGACATGTACACTGCCAAATAGAAGTGAACAGCCTAA